CGAGGCGAACATCCTATTACAGACTGGAGAGCCATGAAACAAGAACTTAGGAGGAAGTACCTTCCGCCTTCCTACTACCCTAAGCTTCTAGATAAGTGGAATAGACTGACTCAAGGAAGCAAGCCTGTTAAAGACTACATCTCTGCCTTTGACGACTTCCTGATTCGTTGCAACGGAGAGGAGTCCGCCACCCCAACCCAAATCCTATCTATGTTTAGAGCTAGCCTTAGAGAAGACCTTAGAACTGAACTTTTTGCTAGAGGAATTGACACCTTAGAGGCAGCGTGTAGCCTTGTACTTGACCTTGAGGACTCCAAGACCCACTCTACCAATAGACAGTTTGATTCTCGATCTAACCCATATTGCACTTCCAACAGCCAGTCCCAAAACCGTCCTACACCTTCAATAGGTAGTCGACCCACTGCTAGCAACGCCCCACCTCGTCCGGACTCTAAGGGATAACCCACCGACAGTAACCCTCCCAAAGCAAATTCCGAAACTAAGTGTTATAGGTGTCATGGGTACGGACACATTGCTTCACAACGTTCCAGTCCCTATAAAGTCACCATAATAGAAGAGGTTGACGACAACGAGGAAGAGTCCGAGACTGACTTAATTCATCATGTTGATGACGAAGAAGAAACGTTCTCTGAGGATGAACCTGTCACCCTGCAAGTCGTTAGATGCGCGTTGTCCCAACCTAAACCAAGTGACGATTGGAGAAGAACATCCATCTTCCATACCTATACTAAAATCGGAGATAAGAACTGCAAGGTTATTATCGACAGTGGAAGCTGCATCAACGCTGTCTCCTCAGCAATGATATTTAAGCTTAACCTCAAATCGACGCCTCACCCAAACCCGTATAAAGTTGCCTGGATTAACTCAACCTCGATGGAAATAAAAGATAGGAGCCTTATCCCGCTTGAGTTTAATGGATATCAAGAAAAGATTTGGTGTGACGTTTTGACAATGGATGTTGGCCAAATTATTCTAGGCCGCCCTTGGTTGTTTGACAACGACATCCATATTTATGGGAGAACTAACACCTATGTGTTTGAACACAATGGAAAGAAAATCAAATTAATTCCCTCTCAGCCTAAGTCCATCAGGGTGAATCTAAGACGGCCCCACCTAAGACCAATAAAGATCTACATCTCGTGACGACAAAAGAAATGGATATGGAGTTTAATCAAGGATCCCCTGTGTACGCCCTAATAGCCAAGGAAGTTAATGATGATCTGGGAGAGCCAGTCCCTGATGAGATTAAACCTCTTTTAGAGACTTTCGCTGATGTTTTTCCGGAAGATCTACCTGACCAACCGCCACCCCTTAGAGATATTCAACACGTGATTGACTTAGTGCCTGGAGCCTCCCTACCAAACCTCCCTCACTACCAGATGAATCCAATGGAGCACACAGAACTGAAAAGGCAAATAGACGAGCTCCTACAGCGCGGATTTATAAAAGAAAGCCTTAGCCCGTGTGCCGTTCCTGCCCTTTTAAATCCGAAAAAGGACGGCTCTTGGAGGATGTGTGTTGATAGTCGCGCTATCAACAAGATTACTGTGAAATATCATTTTCCTATCCCACGATTAGATGATATGTTAGACATGATGACTGGAGCAACGCTGTTCTCTAAAATTGACCTTAAAAGCGGATATCATCAAATCCGAATCAGCCCCGGGGATGAGTGGAAGACGGCATTTAAGACGAAAGACGGATTATACGAGTGGATGGTTATGCCATTTGGTCTTAGCAACGCTCCTAGCACCTTCATGCGAATTATGACCCAAGTCCTTCGACCTTTCCTAGGGAAATTCGTCGTCGTATACTTTGATGATATTTTGATTCATAGTAACTCGGTGGATCAACATCTGAAACAAATCTGTGAGATTCTGAGAAAAGAACAGTTGTATGCCAACCCCCATAAGTGTGTGTTTCTCACCAATAGTGTTACCTTTCTTGGATTCATAATTTCGTCTCGAGGGATTTCAGCAGACCCGGAAAAGGTGAGAGCAATTAATGAGTGGCCCGAACCTAAAAATATTAGAGATGTACGGAGTTTTCACGGATTGGCCACTTTCTATCGGAGATTTATTAGAAACTTTAGCACTATAGTGGCGCCCATAACCGACTGTCTTAAGAAAGGGGAGTTTCATTGGACACTTGGTGCCACTAAAGTGTTCGAGGATATTAAATATAAGGTCTAGATTCCTAATGCAAATAAAATGTAGTAATTGTTGTACATCACATAAAATAAATAATGATCCACAAATAAAATATCACAAATTACACCTAAATTTGCCTTTTTAGATGTATACTTAAAAATATGTGAGTAGAACAAATACAATAATACAACACAATTAATTCAATGAAATTCACAAGAAATTTGAACCATGAAAACTTAATAAGCATTTTTTTTTCACAATTGAAATCCCAGTTGTGACAAAATGACTAAAATCAGGACACTTGCAATAGCAATAACAAAATATTCAGGAAGAAAAACTAGGGAAAGAGATCACCCCATGTGAAAAGCATCTAAACCCCAAATTGGTACAAGGGCGCATCTTTCCCTAAAGGTTGCTTATTGTACTTCCACCATACTCGAATGAATCCTGATCCCACAACCAACACATACTCCCAAAATTGAAAGTGAAAAGCATAAAATATTATTGATAATAATATCACACATTCCTCAATTATCTATTAATAGAATTCACCTTCCTTGTTTGTACTCTAGGTCAGCATTATGGTAAGACATGATTCATATGGTTAATCAATTGAAATCATCAAAGCTCAATAACAAAAAGAACCTCCTAGAGCACATAATATCCAAAGAGGGTGTTGTATCCACACAAGATAGCTTCCATAAGTCACATAAGACATGAAATTCACAATTCCCCAGACAAGTATGCCTCATTTCCTATGACAATACCCAAAACTCACAAAAGCCATAATAATGAAATTTGCAATGGTAGAACTGCCCAATAATAATGATCCCGTGACTCATAATTCCAAATTTGAAGTTAAATAAAATGATCCAAATCCAAAAACCAATGAATTGGTAAGTTTCAACAAGTGAATTGAACACCAACTAGTCAAAATAGATGTCAGATCTCAAACCAACCCAAATCCAGGAAATCAAATCAATAGAAGCATCTCATTCTTATAGGCATATCATCCTAATGAGGTTCTAAAATACCTAAAATTAAAAAATATAAAATAAAATAAAACAACATAATAGAAATTTGCTAAGTTCAGATTTTCAATAGAAAAATCTATGAAGTGTAAACATCAAATCTCCAGCACTTCATGTGCCTTAACAAAATTAAGAATACAACATAAACTTTTGTAGCTTATATTCCCTAAACAAATGCACCAATTATTTAAAAAAAAAAACATTTTTTGGACCAAAAAGATAAAAGCAAGAAGAAGACGAATGTAAAGAAGGGAGTACTTGTATAAATGGAAAGAGTGAATGATTTTTAATTGAAACAGCAAGAAGAGTCTGAAAAATATAGACAAATCACCAAGTTTGTGTTGGGACTAGAGGAAAAAGGCATAGTGGCAAAAAATGAGGAAAGGGAATTTCAAGACGGTGAAAATTGAAGAAAAGTGGGCTAGCAAGATTTCAGAAGAAGGGACCTTAAAGGCAGTGGAATTGAAGGAAAAGGACGAGAATACAAAAAATGTTTACGAGATGGAAGTGAGATTCTAGAAAAAATGGCATGATTAAGGCTAGATGATGGCATTGGTGGCCATGAGATTTAAGTAGGTACTTGGTTTTGTGATAAGTCCCAAGAGAAATGGCAGCAGCACAAGCAAGGCTTCTAGAGAATGCAGGGCAATTGTATCAGTTGGCAAAAGTTGCTCACGATCAAGCGAGCGTTGCGTGCGAGCTCAGGTTTTTAAGTGTGTGCATGTGTGTGAGAAAGTGTGTGTGTGTGTGTGAGAGAGAGAGAGAGAGAGAGAGAGATGACAAGGAGAATGGCATGGTTCCCAATATTTGCAACTCATTTTGCTGAAAATATGACAACTAATACGTAGACCCCTAATGTAGCAATCTAAAATCATTGTTTGCATCTAGAAGAAACAAATTTTGAGAGACTAAACAATGAAATTTAGACTAACGAGGAGATAAATGGAAAATACATCCAAAACAATTGCCCCAATAAATTCCTTGGAAAGCTACCTTATAAAGGACAAAAAGTTTTTGCCATATAAAAAACTAGCCATTTGTCAAAAGCTTGTATGATCAGAAATCTCATTTTTCCGGAATACCTATTCTTTTTATTCCCGTTTGCACTTTTCAGCATACATGCAGTTTGCATCAGTACGACGGATGTCTCTTTTACAAAAATTATGTGGCAAAAAGACCCAACTGAAGCATTGAGAAAAAAGAGAGATTCTCAAGGCACAATTTTAAATAGCCTTCTCAATTTGAAAACAGAAAAAAGGTAAAAAAAAAAAACACTCTAAAACCATGTTCTTAAAGTGATTCAATGAGAATCAAGAAATTGACTCTCCACACCTATTACTTAATTACATTGAAGCATGCCTTAAGAGTACAAATATAAAAAGTCAAAAAGACCATACTCAGCAGTAATCATTGATCCCATGGTTTCAACTATTAGAAGAGGGAAACATACCGTTATTGAACCTGTTAATCTTACAAAAAAGTAGATTAAGATTAAAAGTAAAAGACCATTCTAAGCAAAATTATTAAGCTTCAAAGGAACTATAGCTCAAGCTCAGGCAGTTCAGCACTTTCATCAGGTAACAACCAAGATGATTTAAATAAGTTCTAAGAGAACAAGGGCAGATTAGCTATAGAAATAAGAAGCTTAATTACAGTAAATAATGCAAGATGATCCTCTAATTGTAGTTATGTCAATAGAACTTAATGTTCGATTTGTTTGTCCTATCTCATGCATGTTATATTTGAAGTTTTCGAGCGAAAGGCCTGCAACAAGTTAAAAAGACAATGAAGAAGATACCTTGAAACAACAGCAGTAACATCCTGCATGCTGTTGACTCTGAAGCACCACTCTTCATCTTTTCTACAACTTCAACACACTTCCTATACAATTTCCTTCCCCTTGGATCCTCGCTGAGATGAAAAATCCCGCTGACAAATTCGAGTTCTCGTAATAATGCCTCGCGATCCCATCCAGGAGCACAGTGTTGAAATACATCTTTTACCCAACCTAACAACTCAGATGTCCTGTTGCAGGCTAGGCACCTGAAAAGCATCTCACCATGCCCATTGCCACTCTTAGCAGATGCTCCCATTCCAATCTGACCAGTACGCATAGCACAATCAGCATGTGTCCAGTGTGCACAGAAATCGCAACCTATCCAGCGGTAGGTGTTAACCTCAAAATCGAAGGTATTGCAAACCACACACATGCAGAGGTTGCAGAAGCCATTTCTGTGAGTGCAAATCTCACAGGTGCAATCATCAGCAGGAATAGGACTCTGGCAAGCAATGTTCCTGCACCTCTTGTACAAGAAAATCTCAACAAGGCGACCCTGCGGAAGGGTAACATTTGGGTGCAGAAAAGCAAGAATTCCTGTGTTGATTGCAACCAAAATCTCCAGCTGCACTCTATGAGCCCTGACAAGAGTTTTAGCAGTCAGGTCCACTCTACTCTGCAGAAACTGTTGAAGTCTCGAGAACTCCTCCCTACTATGAGGTCCTCCTGTTCCTTCAAGTATTGCTCGCAACTCAGCCTTAAGCTCTTCCAAGAGCTCACTAGGCATAACAGTCATTCTGTCAGCAATAACCTCAACGCTCTCTCTCGCAACTTCACGGAGAGACAGCCTATCAGCAATCGAAACCCGACGTATCACCTGTGGCTCAGGGAACTCACTCTCTCCTTCCTTCTCCTTAAAAGCTGACTTTACATTAACAGCACCAGAGCGAATGGTCTCAACCGGCCAGGTTTCCCTAGAGCTCGTGCTATCAGAAGGAGAGTCATGAGCTTGGTCAGAGTTTGACAGCTGCTCTTGCATGTCATGGGATCCAAAGGCATCTGAGGAAGCTAGCGACAACGACGTTTGCAGCCCTAAAGACCTAGGTTGCTGGCGAGGAGGCAGCATTTTGGGGGAACCTTTCTGATCAAAATTCGCACCAGAAGAAGCGCCCATACGAGTTAGTTTCCCCAATACAATCCCTCAAACCTGTCATCACCAGCAATATAAATCCTCGCTCAACTTTTTTCAGCGAAAAAATCATTAAAATATCAGAAAATTTCCTTTTTTTTTACAATTAAATCCCGAGCTGAACAAAAAGTTACATTTTCTAAAGTCAGAGAATCAAAACCCTAACCCTAGCACCAAATTCAACTACCGAGAGCCGAAAGCACAATCACAAACACCTAAAAGACACCGCGTCGTCTACCAATACATCAAGCCCTAAGAATGCAAGAATCTGATTTTCAATTAGGCAGAAAACCCTAAGAAGAAACTGGTCCACTATGAAAAGGGATCAAACAGAGCTCAGACCGCTTACCTGAGAGCAAGACGAAAGGGTTTAACAGCACAGCGTGAAGAAAGGAGAGAGAGCAACCGTGTAGACCAGCCCGGATGTGTAGAAGGTCCTCAAATCTCGTTCCTGCTGCTGCACAGTGGAGAAGAAAAAGATGAAGGTGAGGTGACCGGCATAGCCGGTGTTTGACTGGACGCGGCCGCGCTTTTCTCCAATGTGTTGAAAAGTCCACGCGAGTAAGTGACGGGGACTTTTAGGTCAAGCGGTTCACAATTATTTTATTAGAAGCTTCTATGATGAGAAATAATTTTATATCACTGGATTTGTTAATATGATAAAAAAGTTAGCATTAGATTTTTTTAAATTATACTACACATAATAATTTAAAATAAAATGCAAAATTATTATGAAAAATAATTTTTTAAATAATTATATATAATATTTTCTTTTAAAATGGGACAACTTATTTACTAATATTATGTTCCTAAATATATGATTGCAAAAATATATATTTCTTCATAAAAATTAGCAAAAGATCAATAAGTTATAGTCAATGAGCTACCAAAATAAAAAGGTTTCTCAAAATATACACTAAAGTTTTATTTTAGATAATTTTCTTATTATTTTATTATTATAAGTAGAAATTACAATTTTTATTTAGCTACTACTTTTTCGTTCATAATGTCTTGGCTCAATCGAATATGTAATTGAAGTTTGAGTCAACAGTACAATTTAATTGATCGACACAATCCGATTCGACACAAAACTAATATAATATTAATAATTTTGTATAAATTTTGTTATATATATTTAGTTTCATGAATATTATTATTATTATTTAATATCATTTTCTTTGAATTTTAGACTAATTTTTGGATTTGGTAAATCCCATTGGAAATAGTATTTAAGATATTTAGCATTTACATTACTTTTCTTTAGGATATCTATTTTTTTCCTTTTAAACATTAAATTTTTTTAAATATGTTAAAATATATTTTTTAGAATTTAAATATTACATAAGCATAAATCAGAGCTCTTCCTCACAAAGAGAAGATTTAGGCTTCGTTTGGGACGTCTTTTTTATTGCTTTCTGAAGTAGTTTTCTAATACAAAAATTTTTTTGTTTAACAAAAAAATTGTACAAAAAATTGTTTTAAAGAACAGTAAAAAAGCCGTCCCAAACGAAACCCTACTCAATCTTCGTAATACCGCTACCTTAGTTCTATTTTACTCATGGTAGGTTGCAGCCTACAAATTGATCTGTTGGACTCAAATGTTTGCTAGAAAATTAGCTAAATCTATTGTAGACAATAAAATCAACCAAAGAATTATGTGGAAGGACCGCAACAATAATTTTATTTCATTACTATTTTTTTGCTTATTTCAGCATTTTTTTATGCTAAAAAACTTCTTTCCACAATAAATTAAAAAAAAAAATCATCGTAATTTTACCACCACATTTATAAATCCTAAGGCTTTATTTTGGACAGTTTTTTACTGTTTTGTTTTTTGGACCGTCATCATAGTTTTTATTTAGCAACTATTTTCTTAAAAATTATATTAGGAAGCTGCTTTCTATAGCAATTTAAAAAAAAAATTACTTTCTTCATGGTAGCTTACAATTATTTTTATAAAAAAAACTATAATAATCCCAAATAGGCCCTTAAAATCTAAATTCAAAACAAATGAGTTCAGATCTAAGAGAATTCATACTTTAAATCTGAATAATTTTTAATTCAATATTTGAACTTAACATAGCAGAATAAATTTAATTGAAATAAAATAATGCACAAGCAGATCATGATGATATTGATGAACAAGACATACAAACTCAGAAGGTATGAGCGATTATTTTGTGCAGACACCGGACGGGAGAACAGTCTGGTTTCGCGTTCAGTACCGAGTGGTACCGAGCGCTCGGTATCGAGCGCGCGCTCGGTATCAAGCGCGCGCTCGGTATCGAGCGTGGTACATTTTTTTCTGGGCGACATGACACATTTTTATTGGTCTCCGGACGAATTCGGACCCGCATGTAATAATTTTTCCTCATATAAGGGAAAAATTATTCTGTGCGGACACTAGACTCCGTCCGGAGGCGAATCAGAGCATGCCGTGGTTCGTCACATCACCTCTTTGTTTTATACCCGTTGTGTACAGAATGATTTGATCTGCTCTGATTTGCCTCCGAATAATCTGATGTCCACACGGAATATTTTTTTCATATAAGAGACATTGCAAAAGGTGGTGCTGCTATGATCATTCATGTCCGTAGAGTTGGTAAGTTTTGAAAGCTGGTTACAAAACTCTTTTTTCTTTTTTTTCTTTTTCAAAACTAGTGGATGTTTGAGCATATATTAATGATGTCATGCCCACCTAATTCCCTCAGTGATTGGGCACTTCGCTTTCTTTGGTACGGGTGCAAAGTGAACTTTTCGCTCACTAATGTAAAAATGTGATTGCTATATTATCAAGCTTATAGAGCAATATTAATATAATAATTAAATGAGAAAGCAAAATAAAATTATATTTTTTTAGATGAGAGATTCTCAATACATATTTATTAATGTTGGAAAAAATATATAAATTATTTACTTTAGTTTTGATATGATTGAATTATGCTAATTATAGTCTAAATTTTAATGCAAAGATGTCTCTTAAACGTACTAAAATTTAGTCATAAATTTCTGAGATTGTATGATTGTCCAAAGTGTTGTAGCCTTCTTTTAGGCTAGTGAGTAAAATTGTTACTATGTCTATTGATTGGTGTTGCACAAAAATCGTAAAAGTTTATTTGTAAATATTCAAGATGATATATCAAGAGGCTAATGGGGTAAGAGTCATTGCCAGAGGTACTGGACTCGAGGGAAGATACATATACACCATAATCTTTTTTTTTTTAAGGAAAAAATTAGCTTATAGTGAAAGATTTTTTAAGATGATAAAAGGTAAGATGTGACAACCCAAATGACATTTAGGGTATGAAAGGAAAAAAATATAGATGAGTTCAAATGAGTATCAGTAGGCCAAGAGCTTTGGAAACCCTAGCCGCCTTGTTCTTTCCCATTGGCTTTCCTTGTCTCCTCTCTTGCCTCCAACTCTATCACATGAAATCTCCCCCACCCTCCGCATCATCCCTCCTAGCCCTTACAATAAACATCTTGCCCCCTCGCTTCATAAGATGCTTCTCTATGGAGCTTTATCTTCAACTTACTTTTCCCCTTTCTAGTCCTCTCAAGTCTCATCATTCACTTCCTCTCCATCTTTAACTAGTAACCCTTAGCATGTTCACACTCTTAACTGGAAGGGTATCATGGCTTCTAAACAACCTTACTTCTATGACCTTCCTGTTTAACTTTATCTAGCCGACTGATAATGCTACTTATTTTTTCTAACCAAGAAGTGGAAGATGGTGCTAAGGAGTGGGATTTGTCTCTTGTTGGTCACACCATAGGACGACAGCCTTACTACAAAATGCTTCTTAGAGCCATTAAGAAATCTTGGCAGCTTAAAGACAACCCTTCCCTCCTCTCCCTTAATGATGACTTCTTTTTATTCAAGTTCGCTTCTTCAGATGATTATGAGATATTCTGGAGTGGACCATGCTTTTTTTTGTAAGCCTTTCATCTTTAAGAAGTAGTATGTGAATTTCATTCCTAAGAAAGATGAATTTGCCTCTTTACCTCTCTCAATAAAGATTCACAATCTCCCTCTCTCTTGTTGGAATCCTTTTAGAATCACTAAAATTACAAGCCTTGTTGGTTCTCCACTAGATGTGGATAGTCTCACTGCTAAAAAAACTTGGCTAACATTTGTCAGAGTATGTGTGCAAATTTAAATAAACCTCCAAGCTTCATGTTGAAGTTGTTGTCAATATAGCTGGGAAAATGCATTCTTTGTGGGTCCAGTATGACTGGAAAACCCTCCCGTGCCTTGGATAAAGTTCTCTTATTCACCCCTAGTCCCTATGCCCAACAAACCCATCAAGCCAATCCAACACTCAGTCTCCTCACCATCCTATTAGGGGGAGAAGCCATAGCTAAAAACCTCACCTGCCACCTCCTAAAGAATCCTTAGTTCCCTCCATGACTACAAACCATATTGGACCCTTCAAGCACATAAATCCTCCCCAACCTCTTCATCTTTGCACCAAGAAAATCCAACCATAAACAATTCATCATTTAGATTATTGGGTGGAAGCCTCCTTAACCTAAAAAAACCCGCTCTCAGAACTGGGCCTCCCAAATGACCTTCCCTCTACAAACTTATTACTCAACAAATTTTCTGAGCTTGTTTTCGACTTGTAAGACTTCTCTTCATCCAGTCTGAAATTCAAAATCATCTTCAAAAGATTCTCCAATACACCAAAGCCTCCACATCAAAGCCCAATGACACTTCCAAAGCCAAGAACCCACGTTCTCCCCCATCCAAACCCAAATAATAAGCCTTAATTTTGCCTCCTAAAATGTTAGAGGTTTCCATGCTTATAGGGTTCTTAATTTCAAGAATCTTATCAAATCATTTAACCTTTAAATTGTCTCTACTCTTGGAGCTAAAATTAGTCCTAAGTAGTTGTTTAACCATGGGTGTATATTTACCTCTTCTCATGCCCTTTACTTGCAACAACTTTCACCTCCCCCTACCCAATCACATATGAATCAAATAGAATGCTTCTAAACTCTCCTCCCCAACTAATTCATGGTCACAATGACACTAAAGCTAGGAAACTTCAACTCATATCTTGGAAAAATACTTGCATCCCTAGGCAGCATGGTGGGCTTAATATTCCCAACATTCATGATCCCATCTTTGCTTATAATTGTGCCTTAATTTGGAAATGAATTACTAAAAAATTATTCTTTAATGAATATTGCAAGCAAAAATAAGTTTTTTTTTTTGGGCACTAGTGGATGCTCTAAATGGTGGAAGGCTATTCAGGCTAGCTACTACTGATAAAATTTCTTCTTCTTTGAGTTTCCCAATTTGGGTAAATTGTGATTTCACTTTTTGATGGGATCCATGGATTAATAATCACTCTATTGCAAACTTAGATGGTTTCTCCCTTATCCTCTCTCACCTTAATGTTTGTTAATGGTGTTTGGCAGCTTCCTAACTTTTTGCCCTGAAATATTAGAGATGGTTCCATCTCTAATATTCTTATTGTCGCCATTGATACTAGAATTCTTAG